ATTAGCTCTGGAGCTACTTGTACTTGTCCTCCGCTCTCCCTCAGTAGCATGTCGGACGCCTTCTGACCTAAGGTGCTCATCTTCCAGTGTCATATCTTTTAGCCTTATGTTTCTGTCCATGGAGTTTTCTTGGCAAAGATACTGGAGGGGCTTGCCAGTTCCTACTCCAGGTGGATCGCATTTAGTCAGAACTCTCCACTGTGACCTATCTGTCTTAGGTGTCCCTGCACAGCATACCCCATGGCTTCTCTGAATTACTCAAGCCCCTTCACCACAACAAGGCAGCAATCCATGAAGGGGATAACGATATTAGGCAGTAGCAATGTGCAGTGTTACTGCCAGGAGGCAGTGGAAGACAGGAGGGCCTGGCGTACTCTAGTGCATGGGGCCAGGAAGAGTCAGACCCGACTTAACGACTAAACAACAACAAAACGTGCAGTAATGCCCAGAGGCAGGGAATACTTTAGTAAAACTGAAGTCATCAGGTAATGCCCAGAGGCAAGGAATACTTTAGTAAAACTGAAGTCATCAGGAGCCAATTACTTTATCCTAGCTTTTAGTTACATCAGTTGCATGGAATGTTCCCTTTGCACCTTTTCTAATATTCTAATTTCTCATGCTTGCTCTTTTTATGCTGGACATTTTGCCTTGTTTATTTTTACACCCCTGTCATTGCAATTAATCTGTCACTCTTAGTTTTGTGCCATTAGATATTTTGGCTAATGCTCCAGAACATTTCTAGCATTAGTATACTGAAACCCATAATGGCATTCTGTAGCTGAAATCCTGTTGCCATAAGTTACAGCATATAAGGCTGACGATATCATCAGCAACTGCATTTACCGTCTCTAACCCCTCCTCCCAAGTTCTGAGACTCCTAACGAACCCCTTTTATTGTTGTGAAGCCATTGGAAGGGGGAAGGGGCAGAGGGGGAAGACGTTAATTACCAAAATTGTTACCACCAGGATGACTTTTCCTTTTCTTTCTATGGAAACTGAAACTGAAATAAAACTGTCACTCTTTAAAGTGCTGCATTATAGCCCTTCCTTCTTTTGACAGCATGATATATCTTTAGCATTTATTTGTGATTCTGGTGTAAGGAGGTACTTACAGATGACTCATGAGCTTTGGATGAGCATTCTTTCCATAGTGTAGCTTGATCATCTATATCATCCTACTAGGTCAGGATAATGTCAGATGCAGAAATGTGATAGAGAGTATGCCTCAGTGGCAATTTCTATATAAATTTGCTTGATGCAAAGGATAATAGTTAGTGAGTTTTCCATACCAGCGCAATCCAGTTCTGCTACAAAGAAGAAATGCTTTTGCAAAGTTTAGGTGGATGAATGCATGTAAATAGAAATAAGTACATATTGAAAAACTGAACAGAAGGTTAAGAGTGACAATTTACCTGAGCAAATTATTTTAAATGCCCTTTCTCTTCTTTATACACTTAAAACTGTAATATACTGATAATCACACTTTTGAACTTTGATGTGGATATTCAGATAAGCAGCATCTTGCTTCCCTCAAAGAATTATTAAAACATGATATTATAGGAAGATATATGTAATGGATTTAAGTAATGGACTGGTCAAAACAGTAAGATCACAGCAAGACTGTTTTTGTTTTATTTTTTGTTTGTTTGTTTTTAAATCATAGAAATACCAAGGTGGAATACCTCAATGGATTGCATTATGCAGTGGATTGATGCAAACAACATTAGCTCAACCACAGTGTGGCAGAATGCTGTATGGTACGTTCCAGGTGAGGTTTGTCAACTTGAAAATGAGAAGTTTGTCAGAACTTATGATAAGGTTAGGAACCGGTAGGCTAGTTTTAGAGAATCTTGAAAGAAGCTTGATATAAAATTTCCATGGCTAGTGGTGTGTACTCATTTCAGGGAGCTCTATAGTATCTTTAAGGCTGAACATCTGCACTACCTTATTTTTCCGTTTATAACATGTCCCTGTTTATAAGACACCTCCCCACTTTTCTAACCCCCAAATTAAGAAAACTTAGCTTTGAGGATTCAGCCTTTGGGCTCAGAACGGTGGACATTTTGAGTCCCTGTTGAATCTGAGCCTACGGGCTCCACCTCCAAGGAGGTGTGTTTCATTTGGTTTGTACAGCATCAGCTGATGTCAGTTCCATAAGGCCCATGACTGGAGGAAGCTAAGCTTTGTGAGTGAAGGAAGCCTGTTTACACAGGCAAGGTATGTGCTGTTTTTGTTTTGTCCTCAGCTGTCTCAGCTTACTTCTGTGTAAAAGATGCCCCTCAATTTTTAATGATTTTAGGAAAAGTAGTGTCTTATATATGGAAAAATATGGTATATATAAGATTAAATATTCGCCAAAATCTCCTTTTTAATGAACTGTAAAGACCCATGACTGATGACATCTTGAGCTTGTGCAGATATAACTTTATGCAAGAGGAATTTGGCAAGTAAATGTATGACAAAAGGATTTTTGCCTATTATCTTAAAAAAGCTAAACTCTCTGTTAAAAAACCCTATTGGATGGCTATATGATTCCTCATAATCTGCTCAGGCACCTGACTGCCTCAAGGATATAGATGTTAAGAGGTTTCTCATGTGTATTGCTCAAATATTGATAGAAAAAGAATACACATACTATAAAGCAGCCATTCTCAACCTTTTTTGGCCATGGCCATAAACACAATATGAAAGAAATATAGCCTGAATCAAGATTGTTTAAGTTGCATAATGAACCTTATAAAGTCGTGTGTGAAGAATTGTTTCCAGTCTGTGACTCCCTTCAAATGTGCTTGATCCCCACAGGAGGCATATACTATACTACATTTCAGGGATATGCAGAAACTATGTTGACTAAAAGCGTTATGAGGAAGGCTCACTCTCTGCTCAAGATGACATTTGTGGTAATCTGTTCTAAACAGGGACTTTTTAAAAAATGTACTCTATAGAGGTGCCCCATTGGATTAGTATGTCCTCAGATTAATGCCCATACTAATTATAGAGCAGAATATCTTAATGATTCTGAAATGTGGTGACTGAGCCTGCCCCCCCGTCTCCTGTGAAGCATTGTTTCACAGGGTGCTGAAGTCTTGTGTCTGAATACCAAAAATATTCACAAGTTGAGGAGCTAGTTCTGAGAATATATAGCCTATATTCTGCTTATGCATAAGGAAAAGGGTGATATTTGCAGTAAGATTTGTTGGAAGGAGAATGTCTGGTGATAAGGAATCCTTGACATTTTCTAGGACAGTTTCAGTCTAATAAATTTATTAGGCCAAATTATATGTATTGTGTCTGTCTTAACATGCATAAGCATGAGAATTTTGTAGAACTCTTCGGCTTGAATTTCTGCCATAGGATAACACCAATGCGTACAGTGGTACCTTGCAAGACGGTTACTCCTCAAAACCACGAATCTGCATGACAGCTATGCTTGTGGCAGCCATTTTGCTTCGCAAAGCAGTGATTTCTATCGGGGAATTTTGGTGGACAATGATTTGGTCCATGCTTCGCGGACCGTTTTTTCACAACACGATGATTTAGAACAGCTGATCGGCGGTTCGCAAAATGGCTTCCCTAGGGGCGATCCTCGCAAAGCAGGTGTTTTCGGGCCCGTTTTTCGCAAGACGGCGATTAAAAACAGCTGATCAATGGTTCGCAAAGCAGCTTTCCTATGGCCGATCTTCGCTATATGACGACGATTCTTCCCCACTGGAATGCATTAAACAGGTTTCAGTGCATTCCAGTGGGGAAATGCCTTTCACAAGACGATGATTTCGCTAAACAGGGATTTCAGTGGAACGGATTATTATTGTCTAGCGAGGCACCACTGTAATTTGTGTATCTATAGGAGTATTCAGTCATTACTTCCATAAATACAGTCACCATGATTACAGAGATCCACTTAGTCATCACTTCCTACATGTTGAAACTGATAAGTCTGCAGTGGAGGTGTTTCTGTTTTGCATGTAGAGCCTACATATAAGAAAGAATATCTCTGCTACAAATGCATCACTTTCCATGTATAGAAAACTATGATGGAGAGGGGAGGGATTAAGCAGCTCTCTCAGAATGGTGAGTATATCAATGGAGGTGACACATGATTATTCTGGATGTTGTCTTTTCATCTAAATACAACATTCCTCTTTTTGTTGTCTTCACAGAGACACAGAAATGGTCAGTCCCCTCTAAACAAAGTTTGCTGTGGATTGATACAAAGTGTTATTATGGTAAAGCAGCCTAACAGAAGACTTCATCACACACACAAGGTGAGGAATAAGCAATGTTTTATATTTCAACAGTGCTGTTTTGCCATCTTAGATTAGGACTGTGGTTTTATTGTCTGTTGAATTTCCTAGTAGCATCTACAGGCTTTAGGCAGAGCTTTAAATACCTAATCATGGTTTGAGAACTCTTGATCATTGTAGTGTTTTACAAAGCATCAAAATGTTTCTTTTTAACCAAGAATCTTAGCTCTTGCTCTGGAGTTTGGATACATTTTTTGTTCTTTTATGAAATATTAAGATGAGGACATGGTGAATGTGGAGAAAATAGTCATTGTAGAAAGGAAATGATGTGTCAATATTAACTTCTTTGTAAGCTATAGCAAGAGTTCTTTGTAAGCTATAACAGGACACTGGCATGATGGAAGAAGCTGACCTACAAGTAGTGAATAAAATCAAGTGGTATGTAACATGTAGCCCTATGACATATAACTCTACTCTGTGAATATCTGCACATGATTTCAATAAGCCAGTAGTATAGTGCAGTGTATCTCAGTGTTTGAGTTAGTTCACAAGATAGGTGTATAATTGCATGTATGGTCATGTTTAAGTTCATCTACTTTAATTTCCAAGATGTCAGGTTGTCATGGTCATATACTACTTCAGCTCTCCCTTCAAACTTTATTTTACTTAAAGCTGTTATATAAGATATTTTGATTAATTCATACTCTTTGAAGAAGAAAAATAAATAGTAAATTGAGATATGTGTTTTTCATCTTTTGACTTCTTAAGAAAATCTTTGATTTTCTTAAGAAAAATCTTTGAAGTTGATGGCTTCCACAGATTAAATTAGGCATCCTTCAGTCTCGAGAGACTATGGTAACGTGCTCTGTATAGAGGACTTGGAACAGCATCTAGTGTGGCTGAGAAGGCCAATTCAAGAGTGACAATCCTTTCCACACTCACGACAAATACAACCTGTCCCCTGTCCAGCTCCCTGATTTTGCTGGTTTTGGGACTGCCTCTTTGCTTCGGCCTGCTGGACAAAATGGCTTCCACAGGACTCTTCAAAATGGCTTCCACAGGACTCTACAATATTGATTAGAGTCTAGTTGGAATTCCCACTTAGAAGTGTCCTCATAACCCTTCACCAACCTATATGTGCACTCATCTGAGAATTCTTTCTCTTTGCTATTTTTCTTCTTCACTGCCACTCTTTTTCTTTCCTGTTAGTTCCTTCCCCCTCTGTTCTTCTCACTCAGTGTTTCTTTCTCTCAGTCTCCTTCCACTTAATCTTCAGGCAGCAACGTTCCCTCCTCCCTTAACTCCTTGAAGACTTTGGGAGACCTGCAAAGGAAGACATCACAGTTGTGTCCTGGAGCTGCCACTCTGGAAGAAATGAATGTCCTAGACCTGCTTCCAGATTTGTTTCTAAGGGAGTTTAGGGATGGCTGTCATCAAGTCATTAAAAACAGCAATGCAATTTTAATTAAAATTAATTTTTCCATTTCAAAAACAAAATAACTGTAAGAAGGATGCTCCTAGGATCCGTCAGTATACATGCCAAATTTCAGGTGCTTAGGTTCTTTAGTTTTCAGGCTATTGCAAACACAGAGCTATAAGGATATTCTTTATCTTTTAGTCGGTATAGACAAGCCATAAAGATATAGGCCCAATCAGGATTGAATAATTTGCATAACAGATCTTATAAGATGTTGTATGAAGAATTGTTCTCAGTCTTTGGCCCCTTTCATATGTGCCGGGGGGTGTATGAGGGGTCAGATGGCCCCTGTTGGGAATGACTGACAAAGACTGATAAAGGCAGTAAACAGAGAGGTTACATGCTTAATTGTAGAGCTTACCATTGGAGTTTAATTAATTTCACATTGTTTTGTTGTTGGATCTTCATTAGGATGCCCTTTAGAGTAAGGCTAGTCATCCGTTGTCCTTGATTGACTCATTCCAGGGACATTGATCTGTGGAATGTCTAACTTCACAGTAGAATGGATGCGAACAAGGTACCTATGCTTTGTAAATGGCTCAAGCGTGACTAATTCTAGGCAGCTATGCTACTATTTTAGCCAGCATTGATCCATAACCTTTTCTTTAGTGACAACAGAATTACTGGAAAGTACTGATTATTGGAGAAATTGGCAAGGACAAGATCTTTGTCAATATGTTAATTGTCTTACATAAAACAATGACATAATACTGAGTTTCTCAGAGGGTAAACTATTTTCCTTCCTTGAGGTTTCAGATCACATGGGATGACTCTAGGAGCACATGTATCTCTGGTCAAATTAGTGATGTTTCTTCTCCCAGTTTTCACTCATCCTTCACCTGAATTTAGTCCAGCTTTCTGTATTATATGTTCTGTATATAGACTGAACAGAAAAGGAGATGAAATGCATCTTGGTCTAACACTTTGCCTATAGGAAACCATTTTGACTCTCCATATACTTTCCTAATGGTAGCTTCTTGCACACAAAACAGGTTATGCATTAGGACAATCAAGAGCTCAGGCAAACACAGAACACAGTTTCTCATGATCCACATAGTCAAAGGCTTTGCTGTAGCCTCTAAAGCATAGACTGATCTTCTTCTGAATTTTTTTGGCACTCTCCAGTAGCCAGCATATACTGTATTTGCAATATGATCTCAAGTGCCTCATCATTTTCGGAATCCAGCTCAAACATCAGACATTTCTCACTCAACCTAAGAGAAAAGCCTTTGTTCCAACACCTTGAGCATCACTTTGCCTGCCTAGAAAATTAGGGCAATGGTCCTGTAGTTACACAGCACTCTTTGGAATCTTCTTTCCTGGGATTGCAATGCATATTGAATGTTTCCAGCTTGTGGACTATTATTTTGTTTTCCAAATTTATTGCCTTTTTGTTAGTATTTTAATAGATTTAGTCTCTGTGGCTTGAAATAGTTGTATTGGTATCCATCTACCCTGGTGATTTATTTCTTCCCAGTAATTTCAGAGCAGCTTTCCCTTCACTTCCTAGAATTGTAAGTTCTTCATCATTGGATTCCTCTTCAAAGCAATATGTTATCCCTTTTTCTCCTCTGTATAGGTCTTCATTACGCTGTTTCTACCTTCTCTTTATTGTCTCCAGGTCAGATAAGTGTGCTTCCCTGCTGATCTTTCAGCATTCCTAATCTTGGTTTAAATTTCTCTTTAATTTATTGGGTCTTCTGGAAGAGATATCTTGTTTTTTCTGTTTTGTTGTTCTCTTCTTTTTCTTTGCACTGGCCGTTGTAATAGTTCTCTTTGTTTCTATGTGATGGTCACTGACAAGCTGCATTCAGTATTCTATCTGCTTCTGTCACCTTTTACTTTTGTTTTCTCCTGTTCTTAGCAATTGTGTTTCTTTCATCATCTATCTAGGGTTTTCTTTTCTTTTTACTATAGGAATTGTCTTTTTGCATTCTTCCCTAATAATATTCCAGATTTCACTACACAGTTCTTCTGATTCATAGTTAATTATGATTAGTAATGCAAGTCTGTTCTTTATGGCATCTTTAAGTTAATCAGAAACATTGTTTAACTTATATTTTGGCACTAGGATTGTTTTAGTGTTCTTCAGCCTTAGTGCAATGTTTGATATTAACAGTTCATTATCAGTACTACAATCCACTCCAGGTCTTGTTTTGGCCAAAAAAACCAAAAAACAAAAAAAAGCCAACTACAGCTTCACCATCTCCTTAAAATTATGTAGTATATTTGATTTCTGTATTGACCATCTGCTGATATACACGTGTGTAGTCATCAGTTTGGTTGCTTGCAGCATGTGTTTGCAATATACAGATGTTGACGTCATAAAACTGCAAGTCATTCTCCTGCTGTTTCCGCATGATCACATTTTCCAACAAAATTTAGTTCTGCTTTGTGTCTGACTTTTGTATTCCAGTCACCTATACAGTAGTTTTGGTGTGTGATCAATTTCCTCCTGGGTTCTTGCATGAATTACATTCAATTACATCTTCTTCAGCATGGGTACTTGGACCATAGACTTGAATGAAGGTTATGTTGATTGGTTTCCCCAAGTGTCTGATGGATATTATTCAATTGGACCATACATTATAGCCCCTACCTGTCTGTGCTATGTCTTGCCTCAGTATTAGAGCCAGTCCATTTCTTCTGGCTTTGTCATTTTCAGAGTAAAACACATTGTAGTTGTCTGACTGTAAATGTCCCAGTCCAGTCCACTTTAGTTCACTGAAAACAAGCACTGTAATGTCTAAATACTTCATTTCTTGCTTTGTGATTTCCAGTTTACTATGATTCATATGTCTCACATTCCGTGTTCCATTGTATGTATTGTGCAGCATTAGACTTTCCTTTCATCTCTGTGCATTTCAGCCACTAGACATCCTTTTAGCTTTAATCTAGTTGTATTGTTAGTGAGATTGGTATTTGTACTTGTCGCTTCCTCTTCCCCAGTATCTGAGTGCTTTCTGACCTATGGGTCTCATTTTCTAGCACTATCTCTCGTTTCATCTTGGACTATCTTATCATAGGTTTTTGTGGTAAGAAAGGTTCAGCAATGATTTACTATTGCCTTCTGCGCAGTACTAACAAAGTTTAGCTTGAATGTTACTGCAGCTGTCGGTGAAGCTCCAGTGCTACCTTCAGCTACTACTGCCACCAGTAACTGCCCTCTAAAAGTTTCTAGACCCCCATCACCACTGAAACTATCCTTCTGCTGATGTGCTCCTGAAGAGGGTAGATGCATCTTAATGTGGTACCTCGGTGTGAACATTCTGCCTTGGGCAACTCTGCTAGAAGTCCAGAATTCTAACAGAGTCTAGCTTCCTGACAGCATTACTTTTGGCTTCTCTGACATACTCAAACCTCCTCATCACATTAAGATGTACATCCAGGATCACTGTGCTCACATGCATGTCTTACCTTACAGGACATTAGAAAGGAGATGTTTGGGGCCTGCTCTCAGGCTGTAGAACTGCCTCCCGAGAGGTCAAGCTGGGGAATGTAAGGGGGATGTTGTTGTTTTTACCTTTTCTAACATATTTTAGATAGTTTTAGCTGTTTGTTGTTTAGTAGGTTGTGAATGGGTTCACGGGCAGGGGGTGAGGGTCCCTCATCTAAATCAGGAATAAGGAGCGGAGTCGTCTTCTTAACTCTAACAACTTCTGTTTTATTAACATCCAACGGTTCAACATTCTCAACCAAAGGTTCCAATAAACTTAGTTCTGGCAACGAGCCCAAACTGTCCATTTCTGAAGTGGTTCTTTCGCCAGCCGAAACTAGAGGCGTGTAGGACCAAACCTCTCGGCGTCATTGGGGCTCCTCAGGGAGGCGCTCAAGTCAAATGCTTTTGTAAGGTCTATGAAGGCCACTAAGAGTGGCTGTTGTTGTTCCCTGCATTTCTCCTGCAACTGTCGGAGGGAGAATACCATGTCAGTGGTGGATCTATTAGCTCGAAATCCACACTGTGATTCTGGATAGACTCTGTCTGCAAGCACCTGGAGCCTCTTCAGCACAACACGGGCAAGCAGCTTCCCTACAACGCTAAGAAGAGAGATACCACGGTAGTTATTGCAGTCACCCCTGTCACCTTTGTTCTTGTACAACGTGACAATGTTTGCATCCTTCATGTCCTGTGGTACTCCACCTTCCCTCCAGCAGAGACAAAAGATTTCATACAGTTCGGTGATGATGATCTCCTTACCGCATTTCAGCACTTCAACAGGGATGTTGTCCCTTCCAGGTGCCTTGCCAGAGGTGAGGGAATCCAAGGCTGCATTTATTTCTGCTAGGGTTGGTTCGCTGTCCAGCTCTTCCAAGACAGGCAGGCACTCAATGTTATTTAATGCTTCTTCGGTCACTACATTCTTTCTGGAATATAGCTCGGAGTAGTGCTGCACCCAGCGTTCCATCTGCTGTGCTCGGTCCTGGATGATCACACCTGTAGTAGACTTCAAGGGAGCAGATTTCTTCTGTAATGGACCTAAGGCCTGCTTGATACCATCATACATTCCTTTGATGTTACCTGTGTCCGCTGCTATCTGTATCTGAGAGCAAAGCTGAAGCCAATAGTCATTGGAGCATCTCCTGGCAGCCTGTTGGACTTGGCTACGAGCGGCTCGAAGAGCTTGCCGGTTGTACTCGCCAGGACAGGCTTTGTATGCTGCTAGAGCTCTTCTCTTATCCTCAATGGCTGGCATTAACTCCTCCGAATGGGCTTCGAACCAGTCAGCCATCTTTCTGGTCTTCTTGCCGAAGGTGGACAAGGCGGTGTTGTAGACAGTGTTCTTGAAGTGTTCCCATCGTTCAGGTGCATTTACATTAGCTGGACCTGGAAGGGTTTCCTCGAGTGCTTGGGCAAATTCCTTCACTTTTCTTTGAGCACTATCTCTCGTTTCATCTTGGACTATCTTATCATAGGTTTTTGTGGTAAGAAAGGTTCAGCAATGATTTACTATTGCCTTCTGCGCAGTACTAACAAAGTTTAGCTTGAATGTTACTGCAGCTGTCGGTGAAGCTCCAGTGCTACCTTCAGCTACTACTGCCACCAGTAACTGCCCTCTAAAAGTTTCTAGACCCCCATCACCACTGAAACTATCCTTCTGCTGATGTGCTCCTGAAGAGGGTAGATGCATCTTAATGTGGTACCTCGGTGTGAACATTCTGCCTTGGGCAACTCTGCTAGAAGTCCAGAATTCTAACAGAGTCTAGCTTCCTGACAGCATTACTTTTGGCTTCTCTGACATACTCAAACCTCCTCATCACATTAAGATGTACATCCAGGATCACTGTGCTCACATGCATGTCTTACCTTACAGGACATTAGAAAGGAGATGTTTGGGGCCTGCTCTCAGGCTGTAGAACTGCCTCCCGAGAGGTCAAGCTGGGGAATGTAAGGGGGATGTTGTTGTTTTTACCTTTTCTAACATATTTTAGATAGTTTTAGCTGTTTGTTGTTTAGTAGGTTGTGAATGGGTTCACGGGCAGGGGGTGAGGGTCCCTCATCTAAATCAGGAATAAGGAGCGGAGTCGTCTTCTTAACTCTAACAACTTCTGTTTTATTAACATCCAACGGTTCAACATTCTCAACCAAAGGTTCCAATAAACTTAGTTCTGGCAACGAGCCCAAACTGTCCATTTCTGAAGTGGTTCTTTCGCCAGCCGAAACTAGAGGCGTGTAGGACCAAACCTCTCGGCGTCATTGGGGCTCCTCAGGGAGGCGCTCTTTACTGCACAAATGGTCCCACAACATGGGTGCCTTGCCCAGTCGCCCTCGAGAGGTGGGGTGTTATGTCTTGCGTCGGGACGGATCACCTTTTGTCCACGTCCCTGGTTCTTTGGGAATATAATCATCGCCCATTCCAGTGGTTGTATGCAGAGGTCCTCTTTCCCTTGGGGGACCAGATCAGGTAGCAGCCCTCCTACCCGCAGGTGAGGGAAATCTCTTAACAGCTCTTGGGTCTTAACCCTTTCATATTCCCTCAGCTTCTCCAGCTCCTCCTTTCTCTTCCACAATTCCAACTGTACCTAGTAACGTCGCTTGCCACTCTCTCTTATGTCCTCTTCCCAAACTGACAGCTCCTGCTCTCTGCCTATCACATTCGCTCCCTCCTCCACCAAGCTCACTTCAAACTTCCCGCCTTCCCGCGCTCGCGCCCTTACTCCCGCGCTTTCTCTCTCTTTACTCTCTGCCACACGCTGTTTCCCTCCGGGTGTGTCTGTAGCCCTCTCTTCTTCAGGGGACGGCACACTCTCCTCTAGCACTCCTTTACACAGGTATTTTCATATGTTAATACATTTACCTGCTTTTTTGAAGATTGTTATTTATTGTATTTTTGCTGCATTTATGTGTTAATGTTCTGTAACCTGCTTTGAGTCCTTTTATTTGGAGACAGATGAGATAAATGAAATGAATGAAGGAGTCTTGACTGTTAAGCAGAAATCTTGGAAGTTCATGCATAAGTATTGTTTAAATGGCAGGAAATTAAACATTCTTAAGGAGTGTATTTTAAAAATGCACTGTCAGATATGCTTTGTCTAGCATTACTTAACCTTTTTGGTCTGCTGGTAGCAAGGAATTAATTTGCTCTTCCTCTCTGAAAGTTTCGGCGCTTTTGATGAAACCAAAGAGATTCTTTTTCTTTTTCTTTTAGGAACAGTGAATGTGATCATTCAGAACAGCTTATATGAGGCTTAGCATCCCATTAGTAACGTGTTTTTTACAGCCTTTTGTAATGGAGAACACTACTCCATTGTAGTAATGGAGAATAATACTATATATAAACTACTCAAAGTTCTTATGTCACAGATTACAAAGTTACTAATTCATATATTATGAAATACTGGTATTACACTATTTGTGGACATAGTAAAGGTGTCTTAGAATACCTGCCCAACAAGAAACAGGAGTTAACAGTTTTGTCTGAAGAACTGCACAAGAAAAAAACAGTAAGTTCAGGAAGTGATCATCAGACTCTCATCGTGGACTCTCCATGAATCTGCTGAATCATTTTTTCATTTGCTTTGACTTTTGTGATTGTGTGTACTCCCTCATTTTTGTATTCTCCAATTTTGACAGGAATGAATATTTTATTAATTCGGAGAGAAAACGAACATTTTAGAAATGTGGTACCAGTAATATGTTTAATAAGGTTTAACATGAATACAGTACAGCGTTTTATTTCTCACAAACAACATACCCTCTAATTTTCAGCCTCTCTCTCTCTTGCGACTTTGCCCCTGTGTTGCACGTGTATAACTCTGCCCCCCGCCTCGGGTTCTGTTGCGACTGGAACAAAAGGGGATCATTTTAATAAAATGATCGCTGCGTGGAGGAGGAAGAAAGCTGCATGGAGGGAGGCAGAGTTGCATGTGCACGTGCATGGCTTAGAGGGAACCTTGCTCACAGGCTATTTACTTTAGAAATCGAAGCCTTCATTCCTATATCTACGTATCTTTGATTGGTCCGATCATCAGTTTGAGCGGAGAATTGCTGTTCCAAGCAATGCTTTTCTCTTTTTATATAGTCTTATGTCAGTAACACACTGTTCTTAATTTATTTAATTTTGGAGTGGGAGATGGCCATGGACAAATAAGGCTTTTTGTTTATGTCAAGAAGGGAAGGGCAACATAATGTCAATCCCACCCCTTCACACATAGAGAAGTCAAGGAAAGCAATGTTCTTTTCATACCAGTGTATGAAATGGCCTTCAGAGGTGAACATAACTTTAACATGCAGAAAACTCTTTCTGGATTAATGAAGATATTTCTTAATACATTTATTTATTTTTGTTATAGGTTTTTACAGCTAAAGATGTTGCACAGCCATCTGAAGAGAAAGTAGGCCCTTTCACAAAGATAATAGAAGCAATGGGCTTCACAGGACCACTAAAATATAGCAGATGGGTAAAATTATTCTCTCAATATTCTTGTTGTGTTTTATTTGCCCTAAATTGGAGGGGGACAAAAATAGTTTGTACTCCATCTTCCAAAGATTGTTGAATGTCTTTTATAATGCAGTCTAGTATATGTCTTTGCTGAAGTTCTATTGAATTGAGTAATACTTGCCCCTAGGTTATAATGCATAAAGATATATACTGTATTAGCCCTGTAATAATGAACTCACTGCTGGGAGTTTTCTCTATGTCTTTTGGTGGCAGGTGTATTTTTTTTCTTTTGAAAATCATTGATGTCCTTCTTGGTTCCAGAGTGGTTTATAATAGTTATTCTAAATGACAATCATTCTTCCCCCAGACAACTCACTTGGAAGGTAAAAATAAATGAATAAATTGAAAATGGAATTATATAAATAATATCCCTAAAATATAAAAATGCTTATATCACACTATAAATAATCTGTCCTAAAAGCTATTGAGAGGCTTTTTTTCATACATCTGCCTCCTGAATGCACAATTTGTGCGCAGTGGGCTTTAATACATGGCAAGTGGAGCTAAGTCTGAAGTGGAGTGATTTATCTCTATACAGTAGGTAAATTAATCTTCTGTTCCTAGAGTTTGGGGTTCTTCTCTTTCTTCAACAGTACCAAGGCCATTTTGTTTGTTTGACTGGTTTTTTTAAAAGTACTATCTGCATGGATTTTTTTTGTACATATGAAGTGATACTGCATGATAAAATTCCATTTCTATAATTGCTGATTTGATTTGCCTCTTGATCCTGTAAGAGGAATTAATTGAAAGCAAGGGGGAAAGATTTTGTAACTATTATTATGTTCTTACTGCCAACATTGTATGATTTATTTTAGGACACTGTCAGGGAATGTGGCTCACAAGAACCGCATATACTCTGTCTTGCTTTGACTGAAGCTCCACCAAGAGGCCCTATTACACCTGCTTCAATTAATAATCTTTTAATGTAGTGTGTGTATGAAAACCAGTGGATTGAGCAGAGATACAGTGGTTAGAACAAGTGGGATTCTTTAACATAATGAACACAGTATTAGACACAGCTCTCAAAGTAAAAAAGCACCTACAGCAGTGTTTGTGATCAATGTTCACAAGTAAGCCTACACTTACTTGTTCAGCAGACTGGAAGTGATAAATCCATCTCTTTCCATCAAGCTATTTTGGCTACTGACACCCTCATTGCTTAAAATTTGTGTGCTTTTTCTGGACTCTCCAATATATTGACTTCATAACTCCCCAGTTTTAAATCTCTGGAATTATATAGCCATCAGACCTACTATTTATGTCAGTCCTTCTATTTATAATGTGATCTTCTTGAAGGTGCAAAATATATATTTTTGGCCTGTGAAAAACAATATCAAAATGGCACAGTTCAGCAAAAATGAATAATTCATTTATTGTGCAGTCATCATCTGCCCTAAATTTTGGACTATGTTTCTTTCCCCATTTCCTCCTATATGGCCTGACCTAGCCATAAAGAAGTACTCTGAAGTTTATATACTCTTTTGTGACATTTTGATTGTTTCAAAGGCATTGTTCAACTGTGCATTTTGATTGTTTCAGAAAACATTATGCTCAGTACCCTAAATGTCTCTGTTTTTATGTTGTCAAACTGTTGTTTATGTCGTTTATCTATTTTTAGCCATTGTGTCAAAATATATATTAAAAATCCTGAATTAAACATTCATATTAAAAATCAATAGATAATATTACTGTTACTTAGTTGTTATCTGTTATGTGAAGTGTCTTCAGTCTACAAAAGTATGATTTATGTAAAGGAAAATATTTTGTGGTAGAATATTGTTAAAAATAAGTGATGAGTAGTACACTCACCTAGGAAGCAGTAAAATTCTTAACATTAAATGAAGTACAGCATCTATGTTTTTCTCAGCTGTTAGAAACTTTTAAAAGTTTGACTGAAGCAAAACCCAAGACTTTACCATTCTACTTCCTCTGCTTGGGGAAATGTGATCCTTTATTAAGTGAAACAGGGTGGAAGGTGACTTGAAGTGTTAAAATTGGATTAAAATGCACCAGTGCTTTGAGATATTTTTCCAGAGAAAATATGTAGTGTTCATCTGTCTACAGCTGCATTAGGGATTTTTTTTTTATGCCCATAATGATACTACTGTACTGGATGAAGTTATTTCAGGCTTCATCATAAAGGTAGTCTATTGTTTGTTGTCGCTATGTGCTGACTGATGATGACTCTATGAATGAGTGATTTCCAGATATCTTCAACATTCCCAAATATAATTGTCTTTTCTAGTGACTGTTTTCTCATGAGGTCCCCAAAGTACAATAGCTTCAGTTTAGTCATTTTGGCTTCTACGGGGAGCTTAGAGTTTATTTGACCCAGCACCCACTTCTTTGCCTTTCTGGCAGTCACTGTAGCATTAAAGCCAAGCAAAAAGTGTGTTGCTTATATACTGCTCCACAGCACATAAAGCACTCTCTGGGCAGTTTACAAGTTAATTATGCAGGCTACACATCTCTTCCCCCCTGCTTGCTTTTTAACATAATTCCCAGAAGGATGGCAAAAACAACACAGCCTTGTGGAAAGTTAAATATCAATGCATTTACCACAGCTTAAACTGGAATGAGGACTGCAACCCCAAACATTTTTACTAGGAGTTAAGCCTGTTGAAGTTGTGCCCTTCTAAGCAAGCATGTATTATCATCATTATTATCATGTGCCATCAAGTCAGTTATCACATGATGACCCTTTTCAGGTTTTTCCAGATAGTGAGTATTCAGAAGTGGTTTATCATTTCCTTCTTCTGGGGGCACACTAAGACTGTGCAACTTGCCCAAGCATGCACAGGCTGGCTCTAGTCACTGAAAGCATAGTGGAGGATTGAATTCCCAACCTCTGACTCTACAACCAAATACTGTATCTAAACCACTGTCTAAATCTGAGAAATTGAAAAGTGCTTTTTAGCTAGCTCTGCTTTAGCATAATCTTGAGTTCATGCTAAGTGTATCATAGTTCACCTGCCTGATGTAATCTGTATGTTTCTGTAAATATGAGTAAGCATTTGGTAAAGGGTTTATTTCTTTTTCCAATAAAGTGCCAGTATTACTCTACTGAAAAAAACAACAGAGTGTTGAAGCACTTTTAAGACTAACAAGTGCTATTGAGTGTATTTTTTGTGGACATTGCTTACTTCTTCAGATATAATAAGTACAATACTTAGGCCACAGGTTTATATCCCCATTAGTTCTGATTCTGTATTCACCTGCTAGATTGGGCTAATTAGTACATTTCAGCTGAGGCTAGAACAGAATGAAATGACTTACAGAAAAAGTCAATTGCATTATTGAAGCATGTTATAATTTTTCAAAGCGCTGTTTAGCATAAACATTCTGGTGATAATAAAGTAAGATAAACAAGTCACCCTTTAAGCTGTTAAAGCAATAGTGCCCAGTCCTGTGCAGGAGAACTTAAAAGGCAGATTTCAAAGGGAAACAGCTGAACAAGAATATATCAAGAAATCGAGCTTTATCTGTCTCGGCATAAACGAAGAGTGGGGCTTTTTATCTCAGTATATTGATCAGGTCATCCACACGCAGGTTTGTCTTCCTACAAACTCTGTGTGTAGAATTGTAAACTGTTTTCCCAACAGAAATATAAAGCCAAATAGATCACTTCTGCCTTCATCTAAAATAAATAATATCTGATAAGCAAAAATAATTGCTTTAATTTCTTGTTATCCTCCTTACTCTTTAAAAAGTCTAGATCTTATTTGTTTTTCTGCCACCCTATAATGCTCACGATTCTAAATTTCTGTCCCTTTTTTTGTGCTCACCACTTTCTTTATGTGTCTTTTGATCTGTGACTGGCATAGGAAGTTATAGGCAGGCTGTTTGTATGTCTAGTGTAGTGTTGTTTTCTCAGTCTGACAGTAGGTCTGTATAGTTTTTGTAGCAATTTCTCATTATCTGCTATTTAAGTCTTTCAGCCAAAGATGCCAGGGATTGTAATTCATGTACTCTTATCGCTTTCACTGCCATAGTGTATTACAAGAATGTCAGTAGGTATCACCCCAGATTTTAGGTGCTTCTGTGACTCTTGAAAGCTCTTTTATTACTTAACGTCCAGTCAAATGTTTAGCTAACTGAAGTGTACTAAAGAGCCCAATCTAGCAGCTGAACACAGCATCAGGCTCAGCTTCCAGCACTAGCACAAAGGAACTGTTGTCTCCTTGAGGACCTGATCTCATTTGAGGCCTTTCCCCTTGCATAGCACTGGAGTGACACACAAGGGGCTTCTTCTTAGTCTGGAGTGGGTGGAGAGAGGTTGGGGCCCAAGTTAATTCCACAGCACTCTTTCACTAGTCAAGAGCTGTGGTAAGGAAGTGAGTTTTCTATTTGAGCAAGTGAGGCAACAGGCCTGGAACATGTAATACTTCACATCTGCCATAATTCTCTGCTTTGCTGTTACTAAGTTTGAACATTTTACTTACAGTATTTTGCAAACAGCTTTTTAGTTTTCATGGCCACCTCTTTTGTTGGGCCTTTGTTGTTTGTTTTCCCTGCTCATGCTTGTTCCCAGATTTGAGACTGAAGACTATTAAGCTTTCAGCTTCTTCTTTGTTTGACATTGTGCAGGCACATAACATTATCTACGAACTGATTTGAAAAACCCTATAACATAGTTCTTGAGCAGTTGGTCTAGATAAACTGAAGTTTAATCTGGTTTAAGCTGTCCAAATCAATATTCTGAAATCTATATACGTAATGTCTTAACTGACCTAATGTCAAATATTGCAGGTTAGGGGGTTGAATCTTATCTAAGCAGCAATGAAAATAGTACACATGCAGAAGAATGTGGACCATTCTGCATAGTAACTTTTGAAATAACTATATTTTCTAATCAGTATCCAGTCCTAGCCCCTAAATATAGCATTTTGATTTCCGAAATTTCTTGTTTAATTGATAAAAGTAGCAACATCAACAAGTTGTGAATATTGAAATTTAATGTTTTTCTTTTCTAGAAGATCAAAATAGCAGGTCTGCGCATGTACACATGTTGTGTGGAGAGAATAGATTATGAAGAATTCTTTAACAGTAAGTTTTCAGTTTTACTCCTTTTTTATAACCCCATCCCTAGGTTATTGCAGGAGAAAAATATGCCGCATCATGAATTTAACACACAAATATTCCTTCTTTACTCTTGAGTATGAATTTACATTTAGTGTATAGGACCATGCAGTTCTGCCTCACGTGAGAAACAAGGATTGTGAAACAAAGCCAGCACAAATCCACAATATTGCATATTGAAATCGGGGGGGGGGGGGGGGGGGGGGAGAAGTCATTCATGTCTAGTCATCATTTTCTTAAATCCAATAGAAGAAGTAGAAGAATGTTAGTCTTCACAGTCATTTGTTTGTAGTCTTCACTCTATTAATATATGGGGGATTTTCAGCTTCCCCTTGTGGTGGTAGCTCTCCTCCCCAGTGCCTCCCAAGCTTTATAGCACTTATGAGGTATAAGGGGTTTCACTGGGAGAAAATATCGCCTACTGTGTGTGCATACACAACTACCTTTTTCATCTTGAATGGAGTAGTGCATGGATCCCAATGAATGAATTTCCTTAAATTAAAAAAAGTTTAAGTGAAGCAAATAATGGAATATGTTTACAATTCATTTTTTAAAGGACTTCGGCTGCCTGACACATTGAACTCTTGGTTTTTAGTAGCACAGCTTCATGTCTGGTGAGTAAAACTTAAAAGATAGATGTTTGTGTGCTGCATTATCCCTATCACAGGAAAAGACTGTCTCTACTAGTGACAGAAATGTTGAACTTGATCATGCTAACTTTTTTCATGAAGGTCAAAAATCCTAATATTTGTAGTAGTTTCTGAAGTCTAATAGTGGAAAGGATATGGTTATGAGTATCTCTAAAAGCTTCATTCACACTGAATGGAAGGCTCTCTTATTTAGCTGTTTTAGGAAAAGCTTACATTTACGTAAAAGTGGTTTGAATTGTGAGAATGTGTGTGATTTGACTTGCTGCTTGTCAGAACCTTTAACAAATTATTCCATTGACATTTGCATTTGCACCTCTAAAATGTACCTAAAGATTAAGTGAATGCCAAGTTGGTTACATGTAGAATATTTAACACCTCAGAAAGTGAGTTTTCCCTTCATATGCTAAACACCTGGCCAAGAAAAATAATTAGGCAAAATCAATTTTTCATCTAAAGTTACATGTTAGAAAAGGTCAAAGTGATATATCACTTGAAGCAGTTGGAAGAAAATTATGTCTTCTTATTGCCTGACTCTCGGGAAGCTAGTGGCAGTAGATTTGATCGTACTAATAAACGTAGATACCCAGAAGACACGAAGGTGTGTGAATTAATGAAAGCAGGTAGCTCAAACCAGCTTAAAATTATGTGTCAGAAATAACTGGCCTTAACAAAATGAAGCACTAGGTGATAGCATAACAATCTTGGAAGAAATACTGTTTGTAATAATATCTAGCATGTGCTAAATTAGACATTAAAAAAGAGAAACTTTGGAATACTTCACAAGTTAAAGATGCCAAGATTCCCGATTTAAGAAGTACCCATGTGAGAGTTATCTCTTTAAAGAATGATCGTGAAATATTGAAGTGATAAGGACTTTTTTTGCCTTATTGTATAGGCATGTAACTAAATTTGAAATGAAATTAATGGGGAACAATATCTTTTAGAGTTTAATAAAAGCCACCAAAAGTAGCTCTGAAAGAGACAAAGCTATAAATAAAAATATTTAAGCAGAAACTTAGAAAAAGTATATTTCATATACTAGTGAATTTCAGCCAAAAACTGGTAAGCTAATTCTTCACATGGGCACTCCATTATTTCTGGCTAGAGATGAAAGGATCATTTAGGATTGTCAATAATTTATATATGCTTTATTAAAGGTAAGCTAGTTTTAAATAATGGAAAATGTTTTAGGAAAATGGAAAGTAGCTTAGACAGAGTTGCCACTCTCTGCAAAGTCAGGAAAATAGAAGTTGACCAGGGAAACTCAGGGAAACTGGTGAAATGTCAGGAAAAGTGTAAGATAAATGCCCACATAGTGGACTTTCATCGTATTTCTGCAAAAGAATGATCTGTTCTTGTGGCAGTTGATCAGTTGATGTAGAATACAAGTGCAACTTAATGATGCCCCTCCTCTGGCCTTTCCCAGTTATTTCTTTCCCAGCTCCACCTCTGGGAACTGGAAAGAGGTGCATCTGGGAAGGGCCAGAGAAGGGTCCCAACAACCAGCCTGTCTTTTGCCACTGAGCAGTGTCCCTGTATGATTTGCCAGGTCAACGTGTTTTGAATAGCAAGGCTAGTTTAAAGCAGCATACATTTAGCTTAACATAGAGATAAACCTCTATTGGAGTCAGGATTGTATATGGAATGGAAGATTTGTCTTTTGCAAAACCCAGAACTGAGTTGCAAATAAGTTTTGCTGCTGATGGAATTCACAGACAACCAGCACTTTCTGTTAACCATGCAAAGTGAAATATGCAAATAGGATTGTTTGTTCCTGCTGGAGTTCATAGAGACCAAGCTCTCTAACCCTTTTCCTTGATATGCAGATGAGAGTTGTCTGCTTATCCTAGATTGCAAACATTTAAACACCACCTCCTTCCTTGTTGCTCATCTGTTTATTCACTTTCTGGAACCCAGAAAATTAGTTGCATTTTTTGAAAAGTTCTGCCTGCCAAATATCTCTACTATATCATGATATCAGGCAGGTGTTTTTGTGCAAGGGTGTATCTGAAACTACATTATGAAAAAAGCATTTACTAGGATAGTTTTTAATATGCAGTGACTGGATATCAGACTTCATGCTAATTTTGTTCCACGGCTGGCACCAATTGCTGAAGACAAAGACAAATATTATTGCAAATTGTGCTACAGAACCTTTGAATTAAATGTTATAGGAATTAGAGCTGTGGAGTCTCATTCAAAAAGGCCATTACATCAGAAGAACTAGAAGATTAAATTATGAGGTTCTTCTAATTTGAAACTTTTCTGGTTGTTGTTTAGTCGTTAAGTCGTGTCTGAATCTTTGTGACCCCATGGACCAGAGCACACCAGGCCCTCCTGTCTTCCACTGTCTCCTGGACTTGGGTCAAATTCATGTTGGTAGCTTCGGTGACACTGTCCAACCATCTTGTCCTCTGTCGTCCCCTTCTCCTCTTGCCTTCACACTTTCCCAACATCAGGGTCTTTTCCAGGGAGTCTTCTCTTCTCATGAGATGGCCAAAGTACTGGAACCTCAGCTTCAGGATCTTCCAGTGAACACTCAGGGTTGATTTCCTTCATAATGGATGGGTTTGTTCTCCTTGCAGTCCAGGGGACTCTCAAGAGTCTCCTCAAGCACCACAATTCAAAAGCATCAATTCTGAAACTTTACTATATAGCTAATCAAATGAGATGCATAGTTAATATAATATCTCAGGTTAATAATTTAATATGGTTAGATTATGGAAATTAGCAGGCAACCCCAGAATATATTATTTAGTATATCACAGAAGTGAGTACACCCCCTTACATGTCAGAAATATTTTAGTGTATCTTTTCATGTGACAACACTGAAGAAATGACACTAAGTTACAATGTAAAGCAGTGAGTATAAAGCTTGTATAACAGTGTAAATGTGCTGTCCCCTCAAAATAACGCAACACAAAGCCATGGATGTCTAAACCCCTGGCAACAAAAGTCAGCAACACCCCTAAGTGACAATGTCCAAATTGGGCTCAAAGTGTCAATATTTTGTGTGGCCACCATTACTTTCCAGCACTGCCTTAACCCTCTTGGGCATAGAGTTCACTAGAGCTTCACAGGTTGCCACTGGAGTCCTCTTCCACTCCTCCATGATGACATCACAGAGCGAAAGGAGGTTCGCAGGTGGATGTTGGAGACCTTGCGCACCTCCACCTTCTGTTTCAGGATGCCCCACAGATGTTCAATAGGGTTTAGGTCTGGAGACATGCTTAGCCAGTCCATCACCTTTACCCTCAGCTTCTTTAGCAAGGCACTGGTCATTTTGGAGATGTGTTTGGGGTCGTTATAATGTTGGCATAATGCCCTGCGGTCCAGTCTCAGAAGGGAGGGGATCATGCACGTCTTCAGTATGTCACAGTACATGTTGGCATTCATGGTTCCCTCAATGAACTGTAGCTCCCCAATGCTGGCAGCATTCATGCAGTCCCAGACCATGACTCTCCCACCACCATGCTTGACTGTAGACACGACACACTTGTCTTTGTACTCCTCACCTGGTTGCTGCCACACACGCTTGACACCATCTGAACCAAATAAGTTTATCTTGGTCTCACCGGACCACAGGACATGGTTCCAGAAATCCATGTCATTAGTCTGCTTGTCTGCAGCAAACCATATGCAGGCTTTCTTGTGCATCATCTTTAGAAGAGGCTTCCTTCTGGGATGACAGCCCTGGAGAACAATTTGATGCAGTGTGCGTGTATCGTCTCAGCACTGACAGACTGAATCCCACCCCTTCAACCTCTGCAGCAATGCTGGCAGCACTTATACGTCTATTTCCCAAAGCCAACCTCTGGATATGATGCTGAACATGGGCACTCAGCTTCTTTGGTCAACCATGGCGAGGCCAGTTCTGAGTGGAACCTGTCCTGTTAAACCGCTGGATGGTCTTGGCCACTGTGCTGCAGCTCAGTTTCAGGGGTTTGGCCATCTTCCTATAGCCTAGGCCAGTGGTTCTTAACCTTTTTGAAAGAAACGCCCCCTTGAGCCATTGAGGAAGTTATCATCGCCCCCTCTTATTTCTTATTATATCTTATTTGTTTGTTTGTTTGTTTGTTTGTTTAAGACACTTAAATCCAATGACCCCTGAAAACAAAATTCAA